TACTACTACAAGTCACCACCACCACCATCGCCATCTCCTCCACCACCCTACATCTACAAGTCTCCTCCTCCACCATCACCTTCACCACCTCCACCCTACTACTACAAGTCACCTCCTCCACCGTCACCTTCTCCACCACCTCCCTACTACTATCACTCTCCACCTCCACCCGTAAAGTCTCCTCCTCCTCCTTATTACTACACCTCACCTCCTCCACCAGTGAAATCACCTCCTCCACCGGCGTACATTTACGCTTCACCACCACCACCAGTCCACTACTAAGAGGTTTTGAGAGTGCAGTCATTCTCCACAATCAATCAAGTGAGTAGTTGTTTAAATTTGTAAATTTTTCATATGATATTCAACCTTTTTTGCTTCTTTTGTTTGAATTAAGTCTCTAATCTTCTATTTGGTTTCTTTTCAGATTTTAGTTTGAAACACAAAATAAATGATGGCTTCTTGAGGAATAGATTCAAACGTCAATGGTACAAAGCAATTAATTTATGGAATAAGATGTTCAATCTTTTAATTGAAGGGTTGATTCTTCATGACATAGACATATTTGATTCTACTTCTCTTTTGGTCTTCTTGCACATTGTTTTCTTAGTGCATTCACATGAACGTATCTAGGCTTTGATGCTTCTTAGAGCTTGTTTCTTTGTAACTTATTATTTGTATTGAGGATATTGTCCTCTTTTTATTCATTCTTATTAATTATTATTGTGTGTTGTTCTTGTAACACCTTCATGTACTTTGTGCACAAATCAATAAGAAGATTAATTTTATTATATTCACTTTCTTCTTGTTTTCCTCTATCTTTTACCTCTGTAAACATGTTACAAACAAATTAAATTAGTCTTCTCCAAATATATATAAATAAATTGAAAATGAAAATATCTACAATTAGTTTAAGATCTTTACTATAATTTTAATGTAGAAGTAGTTCAAGATATGTATAAGTTAAACACACCTCTGTGGTTTCACAATATGCACTGGGGTAGTTCTTGCCAAAAAAATTTAAAATGAAAATACAAAAGGGAAGAAGAACTATTTTTTTTTTTGAATGTAGCAACAAGAATTATAATAGGATTGAACACACTAGTAGTCCATGTCAAAAACGATGAGTGTTTGCCCTTGATCTAGGTAAGTTAGGATGCCAGCTAACTCGTGATATACTTCCCCCAAAGGGTACATCACAACACTGAAACCCAAAAGAATTGACAAGACCTGCACAGGGTGGAGCAGGTAACTTAATTTGATACAACACGCAACATGTAGTTATCTATTAGGTAACCTTGTAGTTAAAGAGTAGAGAAGTTAAAATTCAATTTTAGTATGTGCCATTTCAAATCAAAGAGAAAAAATATTTAACGAAATAAAAGAAGATAATAGACGTGGAAGAAGTAACTAAAATTGAAACGAAGAACAAGAAAAGAAATCCTTCCAAAGTACTTTGCATTACAACAAAGAAACGTAACAGTACATATGCAAAGTCAACTGAATTAATTAATGAAGTTAAGTCAGGCCAGTTTGCACGTATCTCAACTAATTACATGAGATACTTGTTATCTCTCACCAATACTGATATCGGATAACTCTATCTACCAAAGCTTGGACAAAAGCCAAAAATCACCAATCTTTCCACCTACATTGAAATTTAACGCTGAGACCTCATGGTTCTCATTCCAACACTTATGATTATGCAAATGCGTAATACAAAAAGGATTTATATTCTATGATGATCACAAATAACAATTTTTTCCTGAATTAATGTAGTTAATCGATGTAGCAAGTTTACTCAATCTTTCAAGTTCACTAATATCAAACTTGTTACGAAGAGTTCACAAATTTGAAGTAAAAAAAAATGTTGGTGTTCAAAGTTTCTAGACCACCATTTCTAGTAGGCAACAAATAATTTGAAGCCATCAACCATCAACATACATATACTTCATACCCATTTATCCATCATCATAAAAAAAGGCTATTTGTGCTTTTAAGTTATCAAGGTTCTTGCACCGGCCAACTAGTGTTCAAAAAAAAAAAAAAATCATCTATTTGCTAATAAGTTGAACATATTAACCATGCATGTGATTAGTGGCGGAACCAAGGATCTTAATAGGAAGATTCAGAGAAGTACAAAAGTATCACACTTAGGTTTGGAATATGTTGAGCATGTCACATAGGGCATTTGGTAAATAATTGGTACGAGTTTCAAACAATCCCATAGTAACGCACCTTAGCATTTACCAGTAATAAACTCCAACAACATTACTCTTGTTTTTTACCAGCTAGCGCGAGTCCACGACATAGAATATATATATATATATATATCCTTACCCACTACAGATCAACAGGCAAGCAGTGGCGGAGCCACCATACAGTTAGGGGGTTCAGTCGAACCCCCTTTGGTAGAAAATTATATTATTTATACATGATTAAAATAATTTTTTTAGGTATATATAATAGATGTCGAACCCCCTTCGTCTACTTCGTGTGTCCTTTTTTTAGATTCTGAACCCCTTATTGAAAATCATGGCTCCGCCACTACAGGCAAGTAAAGCAGGGGAAGATAGATTAATTAATTTGGCTAAACAAGTCAAAGTTGTTGTAATTATTGAACACTACAAAATTCAATATCACAGAATATGAGCACTAGTTTGTTTGTTTTTTGAAAATATGAATATTTTAAGTTTCGTAGATTGATACAGAAATATGCTTATCAGCCAACACCCTGGCTATTGAAAACATAATAGCAAGAGAGTGGAAATATTAAAAAATAGCACTTTCTTTCCCTTAAGCCAGTTCATGGCATGTGTTTTTGTATGTTCTCATAGCAAGTAACAAACTACTTGTAAAAGAAAATGGGGAAATATAGATGGAATATAATAAATAAAATGAAAACTTGTAGATCCAGCCGTTAAGAGCAATTAATAATATTTTTACACTTTGATTATCAATCAGAGCAATTGAATTAGTCCTTTTAGACAGCTCTTTACGAACAACAATTTTATCAAGAAATTTTAGTATAAATACATAGGCCAATGAGTCCACAAAAGGCATCACTTCTCAACTGAAAAAAACTAAAAGTTGTCTTCTTTCTTCTTCTCCTAACTAGCTAACCACATTTGGGAGGCTAGGTGGTGCAATTTTCCAGCGAAATGAGACTAAACAATGGCGGCCCTGCCAAGGGTCGTCAATATTTGCCACAAATCTTAGTGGCATTGGCCATATTGGCTGTTGCTAATGTAGTGTCGGCAGACCCTTATGTATACTCTTCTCCACCACCTCCAGTGTATGAGTACAAATCTCCACCTCCTCCCCCACCTTCTCCCCCGCCTCCATATGTTTATAAGTCACCTCCTCCTCCTTCTCCATCACCACCTCCTCCATATGTGTATACGTCTCCACCCCCTCCTTCACCATCTCCACCACCACCATATGTGTATAAGTCCCCACCACCTCCCTCACCGTCTCCACCACCACCCTATGTGTATAAGTCTCCACCACCTCCATCACCATCACCACCTCCACCATATTACTACAAATCTCCTCCTCCACCATCACCTTCACCACCACCTCCATATTACTACAAGTCTCCACCTCCACCTTCACCGTCACCACCCCCACCATATTATTATAAGTCTCCACCGCCACCTACTCCTTCACCTCCTCCACCATACTATTACAAATCTCCACCACCTCCTTCACCTTCTCCTCCACCACCTTATTACTACAAGTCGCCACCTCCTCCATCACCTTCACCACCACCACCATACTATTACAAGTCTCCTCCTCCACCTTCCCCATCACCACCCCCACCATACTATTACAAGTCCCCACCACCACCGGCTAAATCACCTCCTCCCCCGTACTATTACAGTTCTCCTCCACCACCAGTGAAGTCTCCCCCTCCACCATACTACTACTCCTCGCCACCACCACCCAAGAAATCACCTCCTCCACCATATCACTACAGTTCCCCTCCACCACCAGTTAAGTCACCTCCAACTCCATACTACTACAAGTCTCCACCACCACCACCAAAGAAGTCTTCACCCCCACCATACTACTATACTTCACCACCAACTCATTACTATCCTCCACATCATCAATTTGTAGTCAAAGTTGTCGGAAAAGTATATTGTTTTAGATGCCATAATTGGAAGCACCAAGAGATGTCTCACGACAAGAAACACCTGAAAGGTACCATAGTCTTTATAGTTTATACTACAATCATATTTTTTATTTTCTTTTAATTTATCATCAAAAATTTGTTTAACTATACATATTTTATTTTTTGTTGCTTTGTTCATTATGATCTGATCAAAATTCATATATAAATTGTTTTTGTGTTAATTAATGTTTCTTTTAAAATGGATTAGGTGCTGTTGTTGAAGTGACTTGCAAGGCCGGTGACAAAGAAATTGTGAGTTATGGTACCACTAAGATCAATGGCAAATTTAGCATCACTGTTGAAGGATTTGAATATAGCAAATATGGAGCAAAGGCTTGCAAGGCTAAACTCCACAATGCTCCTAAGGATTCAAAGTGTAGCATTCCTACAAATCTTCATTGGGGAATTAAGGGTGCTAACCTCAAAGTGAAGTCAAAGAATAAATATGAAGTTGTACTCTATGCAAAACCATTTGCTTATGGCTCTAAGACACCTTATGCCGAATGCAAAAAACCCAATCCTACACCTGCTCCATACTACTATAAATCTCCTCCACCTCCATCACCAACTTATGTTTATAAGTCACCACCTCCTCCATCACCAACATATGTTTACAAGTCACCACCTCCCCCAACCCCGACATACGTTTATAAATCCCCACCACCACCTACTTACTATTACAAATCTCCACCACATACGTTTATAAGTCTCCACCACCACCTACTTACTATTACAAATCTCCACCACCACCAACTAAGTCTCCACCACATTACTATTACAAATCTCCACCTCCACCATCACCAAAACCTGCACCGGTATACTATTATAAATCTCCACCTCCACCATCGCCAAAACCTGCACCTGTATACTATTACAAATCACCACCACCACCATCACCAAAACCTGCACCTGTATACTATTATAAATCACCACCACCACCATCACCATCTCCTCCTCCACCATACTATTACAAGTCTCCACCACCACCATCGCCATCACCCCCACCACCTTACTACTACAAGTCCCCTCCTCCACCATCTCCATCACCACCCCCACCTTACTACTACAAGTCGCCTCCTCCACCGTCACCTTCTCCACCACCTCCCTACTATTATCACTCTCCACCTCCACCCGTAAAGTCTCCTCCTCCTCCTTATTACTACACCTCACCTCCTCCACCAGTGAAATCACCTCCTCCACCGGCGTACATTTACTCTTCACCACCACCACCAGTCCACTACTAAGAGGTTTTGAGAGTGCAGTCATTCTTCCACCTCCATACTACTACAAGTCTCCCCCACCTCCATCGCCTTCTCCCCCTCCACCATACTACTACAAGTCACCACCACCACCATCTTCATCTCCTCCACCACCCTACTACTACAAGTCTCCTCCTCCACCATCACCTTCACCACCCCCACCTTACTACTACAAGTCGCCTCCTCCACCGTCACCTTCTCCACCACCTCCTTACTACTATCACTCTCCACCTCCACCCGTAAAGTCTCCTCCTCCTCCTTATTACTACAGCTCACCTCCTCCACCAGTGAAATCACCTCCTCCACCGGCGTACATTTACGCTTCACCACCACCACCAGTCCACTACTAAGAGGTTTTGAGAGTGCAGTCATTCTCCACAATCAATCAAGTGAGTAGTTGTTTAAATTTGTAAATTTTTCATAAGATATTCAACCTTTTTTGCTTCTTTTGTTTGAATTAAGTCTCTAATCTTCTATTTGGTTGTTTCTTTTCAGATTTTAGTTTGAAACACAAAATAAATGATGGCTTCTTGAGGAATAGATTCAAACGTCAATGGTACAAAGCAATTAATTTATGGAATAAGATGTTCAATCTTTTAATTGAAGGGTTGATTCTTCATGATATGGACCTATTTGATTCTACTTCTCTTTTTGTCTTCTTGCACATTGTTTTCTTTGTGTGTTCACATGAACGCATCTAGGCTTTGATGCTTCTTAGAGTTTGTTTCTTCGTAACTTATTGTTTGTATTGAGGATATTGTCCTCTTTTCATTCATTCCTATTAATTATTATTGGATGTTGTTCTTGTAATACCTTTGTGTACTTTGTGCACAAATCAATAAGAAAGATCAATTTCACTATTGTAAATCTCCTCCACTTCGTGTACAAGTCATCACCTCCCGCAACCCCGACATACATTTAAAAGTCTTCACCATACCCTACTAAACTATTACAAATCTCTACCATCACGAACTAAGTCTCCACCACCTACCATTACCATAACCTGCACCGATATACTATTATAAATCACCACTACCCTGTCACCATCGCTTCCACCATCTTACTATTATAAATCTACACTTCCATCAACTAAGTCTCCACTACCTCCTTATTACTACAAATCTCCACCTTCACCATCACCAAAACCTGTACCTATATACTATTCTTATTAGTTGATATCAAAATCTTCTATGCAATTTCATCTGATATGTTTAGATTATAAAAATAGATATTGAAGTATATCAAAAATATAAGTTTCTAAGGATAATAAATATTAATCTTATATTTTAATCACCTTACACTTGCATTCAAAATGGATTTAATATTTGGAGAGTTGAAATATAAATTAAAGTAGTTTTGATATACTATTTATAATAGTTACTTTATATTAAATATGCATACATGTTACTTTATGATATAAAAGAATACAATATTTCTTTAAAATGTGTTTTCTTATAGAACATCTCACACAACTTTTATATTAGATTTGAAATGTATTTGTCTATCTATAATAATTTATAAGTAAATGCTTCCTTCTCCATCTGAGAAAAAGAAAATGCAAAAGATAAAAATCTTCGAATCGGGTTTAAATGCAAACCAATTTAATTAGTATAATATGTGATATTAAGTGGTTATCTGGCATTTAATCTTAAATATATTGCTACGTGATATTGTAGTAACTAAACTTTATAGGGGTATTTTGATATTTCAACTTTCAACTTTTTTTTGTTCCCACTTTTAGTAATATAGTAAATAGTAAATAAATAGTAATAGTAATATATGTGATATGATGATAAAATATATGTAATGAATTATATTGAATTTGAAGAATAAATAAAAGCTCAAATTAATGAATGATGAGTCTATTCAACCTAAATTATTAATTGCAAGGTACATCATATATATTGCTATCAACTGAATTTCAAAAGCAAATTACTCTAACAACTTTAGATATGCAATTATTATATTATACATCAAGTATTCAACTTATTAAAGTTATTTAATGTCACAATACATAATTTGAATGTTGGCATCATGTTTGTAAAATATTTCATGTCTTAAAGTTTTTGTCTTCTTTTTAAGAAACAACAATCTCCACCTTCTTACAGTTGCATATATATTAAGAAGTTGCCGTCGAAGGAGAGTAGTATTTTGTAAAAGTTGTACATAAATTCAATCAAGATATGTCTTCCTTATTATGAATAGTAAATTATTATCCATTTCATGGTATACATCTAAAAAAATGAATTATTATTTGTTACAGAAATAATAATTGTTGAAAGACTTAATTATAGTAATTACATGTAAATATACCCTTTGTCTCCTTTGCTTGACTCAAAATTACTAATTCAGTTATCGGTAAACTTGACCAAAAAAATAATGTGTTAAGTTGTATACATATAGTTGTTATAAAATATAACACAATTATATGTGAGATATTGATAGTTTACTTTTCAAAATAACAAATCAAATTGACATTCATAACATATATAAAATAAGAGTTTTTATGTTATGAGTGTCAATTATATATACTTTGGTGGTATCAATGAAGAAAAACAGTCCTTCACTGAAAACACTATTAGTTACTCTTTGATACCATCAAAATATATAGATAGTCTGATGGTATCAAACAACAATTTAGGTAGTTTTCACTGAATTAGTACATTTTCCTCCTTGATACCATCAAAGTATATATATATATATATATATATATACACACTCTGATGGCATCAAATAATAACTACTAGTATTTTCGATGAAGGACTGTTTTTCCTCCTTAATACCATCACAACATATAAACATATACTCAAGTGGTATCAAGCATCAATTTAGGTTGTTTTCACTAAATCACCCCCTTTTTATTGCAAAGTACATATAATGCCCAAATTCTATGCATCAAACCTAACTTAATACCTTTGTGCCTAACACATATATTTGGGTGTTTGTAATACCCAAATTTTATGCACAAACTTTGTTAACACCTGGCTGATTTGATACTTTTTTAATACAAACTATCTATAAAACCTATATCCTATGCACCAAACATGATTTAATACCTTTGCCTTAACTCAAAGCACAAATTATCTTTAATATCCAAATTCTATGCACAAATCTTTTTATTACTATCTAAATTGATGTTTGATATCATCATATTCTGATGGTATCAAGCAGTAGCTATACATGAGAAGGACACAAAAAACTATTAAAGCTAAAATTATGTCATAAATAGTTACAAAAATAAAGTAATTAACATTTAAAAGGGTAATTAATCAAATAAAATATATTACTTAAATAAAAATTTCATAAAAAACTGTATTATTACTAAATAACCTCCTATCTCTTCCACATAAAATAACATCACATATTAACCTTCCATCCTAATCACATTTTAAAAAAATGATATGCACCAAATGCTAGAGCACTTTTGGTTTGTTCTAGAAAAAAGACTAAAAAATATTTGGTTAGTGTTGAATGTTAAATTAGGTAGTTAATATGTCATTTTCAGCAATTTATATTTTTGGGTCTCACAGTTGTAAGTAATCTCTGGCTAAATCTAGATGCTTCCACACTGCTTCAAACAATATAGTAATATTTCTTTAAAATATTTTTTTACATTAAATTCATTATATTTTTAAATTGCAAAAGTTAAATCGGGTCAATAAATTTTAAATATAAGAAGATCGCTAGAAGATAGAGTTTGTTTTTTTGGTTTCTATTCAATATTCGATATTTATATTTGAGTTTTCAATTAATTTAAGTTTGGATTACGTAAAATCAATATTATTCGAACCATTCACAACGAAATGCCAACTTTGCAACAATATAAATTTGTGATGAGATGTTTGAGATGTCTTCATCCTTAATCAAAAGTATATCATTTAAGTTTTCGAGTTGAATTTTTTTATTTGAAATGTCGCCTTCGTAAATAAATCATATAATAAGTAAATTTAAATTTAATTCTATCTTAATATGAAGATCGGATATCGAGTAAAAATAAATTAAAAATGCCAACTGTGTCATAAAATTTGTTGCGAGTACCAAATATAAACGGTGACCTGTCGTATTATGACATGTCAGCTTTTTTGCTTTATTCCAAGTCTAGAATGTTCAAGAATGATTTATTTATTAAATTAAAATAAAACGGCAGAGAATCTATTTCCTACTATATTATAAAAATAGTAAATAACAAGGCTTTTATTCTTACATAAAAAAAAATCTAATTCTCATACACTTTCACTTCATTCAGTTAATAATAGTCACATCATCCTTAACCTTTGATTATTATTATAAAGAAAATAAAGTACCCTTAAATTATTGAAAATATAAATATCGTGAAGTTTTTTAAAAAACTTTTATTATTGG